CCCCTAGCGCCATCTAGAGTCTGTCGGGGGAAAGATAGCCTCTGCCTTCTGTTATTAATAGAGAAGGCGGGATATTTTTAGCTCAGTGTTGCCATGTGAACGGGTTGTCTAAGCAATGCTAGAGAGGGTGTTTCCATGCGGAGCTGACTTCAGCATTGCTTCTCCGCTTGCTACTGCGATGTCACCTGCTCCCCTCAGACACACATACACATGCACATACACATACACATACACACAGCACCTCCATCCTTCACATCCACCTGCCTGTCAGTCCACCTGAGTATGTGCGAGCGAAATTGTTTACCTCTTCCTTCAGCTCCTGTCACTCCCACACATTTAAGCTCTTTGTATGATTCAAGCTATTTTAGGAGATGCAAATGTGCTCGACATCACGCTTCCCATTGCTAGTAGAGTGCAAAGACAGCATTACAGCTCCTACGAACCATTTAAATGAAATTGTATCATCTTTATTACAATAAAACACCTTTGTATGTGGCCCGTTTTGTACTTCCAGGCAGTTTGATGTTCAAAGAAAGGATTGTGTGTATGTAATTTTTTTTTTCCATTGTCTTCACAGGGGTTGAACATCATCTTCAATGTGGCGCTGGCTCTTCTGAAGGTACTGCACCTCATCATGATACATTTCCAATAGTTCAGAAAAATCTGTGAAATTCACAATTGTGGTTTACAGGATGGAAAAGTTAGGGGAAATTAATTTTTGATAATTTGAATTATCTTTCTATTTTTATATGTTCAGTTTTTATTTTAATTTTAGTTAATTTTTCATTTTTATTTTAATTTAAATGTAATAATTTAGTTGTCATATCATAATTATTAGGGTTTTTTTTTTGCTTTATTTTTATTCCAGTTTTAGTCACTTTAGTACTTCAGCTTAAACTTATTTCAGTTAGTTCCCAAAGCACCATTTCTTATTTTCATTTACGTTTTTCATCTAAAATAATATTTTATTTTATTTCAGCTTTGTTTTAATACAATTGAAAACAATTCTCAGTAGTTTTAATTGTATTTACATTTTTATTTATTCATTGTATTTTAAGTCCTTATCCGTATCATAAAAAGTAACGGAATTTCATATGTTAAAATGTGGGAATTCTGTTGCATGATTTAAGGTTTTTAGTATATCAGCTCCATAGGTTAAAAAAAAGGAAAATATTGAGTTTGTCTCCCTCTGCTGGTCAGAAGAAATATTGCCTTGCCTTATTTTTTCATCCAAATCTTTGCGTGCTGTTCAGAGCTTTCTGGTTTCATAGGTTTTGCTATGAGCAATATTAAACAAGAAACTGAAACAATTTTATATATATATATATATATATATATATAAACAGGGCTGGGGAGTAACGAAATACATGTTAACGGCGTTACGTATTTAAAATACAAAATATGAGTAACTGTATTTCGTTATAATTACATTTTAAATAGGTGGTAATCAAATTACAGTTATCTGAAAAGTAGCCTATTTTAGATTAGGCTACCAAAGTGATTACTTTGAATTTTAATATCATTTCTTCATTTAATATTTAAGTAAACAGTTTGGGGATTTCAACCAATAAGGCAACTGATTCTCTGTTGAAAAAAAAAACTGCATGCAGCAACTGAATGACACCGAATTCTCCTAGAATTCACACTTTGCATTCAGTTAACAGATCCATACGAATCATGCATGAAATAAAAGTTTATAAAGTCAAACGATAGCTTTGTGTGATTTACAGATGAACTTGCAAGTCTTTATTCATTCGAAGTGTTCAAGAATAGATTATCTTTGGTGCGGTAATGCGAGTTCATGATCCGATTCGTGAACAGATGATTCTTTTGAGTCAATCTTTTAAATTAATAATTTATTTTGTTTAACGAAACCAGTGTGAATGGTTCACAAACTGGATAGATCTGAGGTGTGTTTCCCAAAAGCATCGTTAGCGAACTGTGGTTGTTAAATTACATTGAACTATAATGACATTACTTGCGACCGTATTTGCTTTGGGAAACGAGCCCTGTCAATTTTGACTCGGTGATTCTTTTGTGCCGATCGCTTCTCCATAGAGAGGATTATAAGTGAAGTAATAACTTAAAGTTTGGTCCATTCATTAAACAAATCTATTGTATAACTTGGAGAACTTTGCCAGTTATTTTGGCTACTTTTATGATATGTTTGGTGTCGTTTTGAAGCTTGGAATGCAGCATGAAACAGCACGGAATCCCATTCATTGTATTCAAATTGAATTTATAGGCTATTGATAGATTTAAATGACATAACTTTTTTTTGTTGTTGTTCATAGAAATGCTGTGGAAAACTGATGTTGTTAAAAATAAAATGCAAAGAAAACACAAATCTTATGACTGATAGATGTCACTTTTTTATTTAGAGTTGGAAAACATAAAAACAAGGCATAAATTTAATATGTTCCTTTGTGTTACATTGCTTAAGTATTTCAAAGTATTCTAAAGTATTTAGATTACGTTACTAAACCTGAGTAAACTAACGAAATACATTACTGATTACTTTTTAAAGCATGCATTTTGTAATCTGTAGTGAAATACATTTTAAAAGTAACCTTCCCAGCCCTGTATATATATATATATATATATATATATATATATATATATATATATATATATATATATATATATATATATATATATATATATATATATATATATATATATATATATATATATATATATATATATATATATATATATATATATATATATATATATATATATATATGTGTGTGTGTGTGTGTATATGACATTTCATATTTGAAATTTCATTTAAAAAATTTAAAAAATAAATAAAATGCTGGATATCATTTCATAATAATACAAATAACTACACATAGAGACATTGGATAGGAAATGCTGCGTAAACAGGAAATAACCACAATTTATCATTTTTCTTGCATGCTTTTCTAACCACAAATGGCATCTTTCTTTTCATAAGATGCATTGGCTCGTTAACACAACATAATAAGGAAGTTGATCTGAGCCGTATGGCTGCTGTCGGAGTGATATATGCATGCATTTGGGTTTGTTGTTGTGGTGTTATTGATCATCAGTGACACGATGGATGACACAGTATGCAGCTGTGGGTCATTAGCCCAGTAATGCCACTGTAGCTGTATTGATACAGCTCTATTCGTGGCACATCAGGACTATAGTACAGGGGTTTTTAGAGATTTGCAAGCAAAGCACAAAAGTGATCACAAAAATGCTTTTTTTATATACTTTTTGGAATAAAATCCACCTATAAACACTAAATATTTTCATAGTTTCTAATTGTGGTTTTGAATATATTCAGCTTCCATTACGATTCAAAGGGCAATTTGTCATTATCGGCTGGCCAGTTCTGTCTGCTGCAAAGCTTTCCAACAGTGTTCTCAGCACAAATACATTAGCTTCATCCACAAAGCCACACCTTTGTGTAAGCTGCAATGGCAGAATGACAAATGGAGCTATAGCTAGAGCGGACTGCGCTGCCCTGAATGTGTCTGTGCTAACCTATGGAGGAGATACGGATATGTCCGCTGATTTAATGTGGAGAATTAGACTCCACTTCCCTGTTCTGTAATTACAGCAGATGTGAGAACCAGAATAATGTTCTCTGGTTTCTTTTTAAAGCTTTGCAAACTCCAGGTGTTTATTGAAGAGGAACTATTAAGGTTTTTGTAAAGAAACCTCAGACCTCAGGGTACTAGATTTACACAAGCCTGATGATATAATTTGTCATGTTGAAGACAAACAATGTGTTTTACGTAATTAGTTATGACAAATGTCCTCTCATGTCATTATTTATATTGTCTCAAAACAATGTGTATTGTGAAAAGCGCTATACAAATACATGTGACTTGACACCTTAGGTGTGTTTAAACACCAAATGTGTGGTGGATTTTTTTATATTCATTAAAATTTTTGTTCCCAGCTTCGTTCCTTTTGTTCCATATATATATATATATATATATATATATTAGTGCTGTCAAATGATCAATCTCATCCAAAATAAAAGTTTGTGTACATAATATATGTGTGTGTATTGTGTATATTTATTATGTATATATAAATGCACACACATACTGTATATATTTTGAAAATATTTACATGTATATATTTATATTCATATAATTTATGTCATATATAAATATATTTAATATATAAACAAATATAAAAACAAGTGGTTGGAGGAGAACTCTGAACCCCAATACAGTATTTTTTCTGTCGCATAGCCTCCTGCCTTACATAAGTATCTAAACGTAAAAGAAATACTAACTTGATAAAACATCTGATATTATCTTCTAATATTCGTATCTAATTGGGCTCAACTGATGATTTTTTTTTAATAGAAAAATTCTCAGAAGCCACTGGCCTTTGGCTCTGAGGACCCAATATCATGTTTGATGACTATTTAGACTCTTTGAGGTTTTTTTCTTCTTCTTCTTCATTTATAAAGTATTACTGGTGCCCAGATGGAAATGTATATATATTTTTTAAGTATGTATATACACCATTCTGTGAAAAAATATTATTATATGAAAAAAATAATATAAATTATAACCAAAAAACTAAATATTAACTCATTTAGTAAATTAAATTATTTTTGTCATAATGCATCTGAATGTTATTTTGTAAGTAACATTTTTCTCAGTTGCGATTCTGATTATATTTTTATTACTATAATCCAGTTATAATCCATTGTTTTTTGTATTTTCCTCACTGATTAAATTGTAATGCTTGTGAAAGAAGGAAATATTATTGTTAGTGTATTCTGCTATTTTCCCACCATGTTTAAATTGAAACAGAAGAAACCAGTGAAAGCAGGTGGACAGAAGTTGATGTGAATGTGCGTGTGAGGAAGCAAGAGATGTACATTAATAGAGAGAGAGAGAGAGGAGCTAGAGGGGGTTGCACTGCCTCGCTTCTATTGGCTAACCATTACGACATTCTCCTTGAAGGCTCCCAAACCCCCTCCTCCTCCTCCTCTCTCTCTGCCGCTCCACACCCCTCCATCTCGCGCTCTGTTTCTCCACATGTCCCCCTGTCTGTTCCCTTAGCGAGCATCCAGCAGCAATTAGCATTTAGCATGAGTTGCATTGGAGCCTCAGCCATGTCCACTGTCCATTCGTCCACGGTCTCCTGTTCCCTCGCAATGCCCCTCCTATCTTCCTCTCCTCCTCCCTTTCTGCCACTCTGCCACTAGCATCGACAGCATCTCTGTGAGCATCTCTCCCTCCCCGTCTTCCTCTTACGCGCTCATCGACTTTCCCTGCTGTTGGAAAGCGAAGCACAGAAGCCACTGGAGCTGGAGTAACGAAGGCCGGAGGACGAGAAGACGACAGCCTCCACCCAGTCTCACATCTCACCTCCTTCATCCCACACTTGGACGTTCTGGCACCTTTTGGATACTTCTGGACCTCGACAGGATGGCGGAGCTGGCAGACTCTCGACTGAACAAGAACAAGGACTTAGCTTGACTCCGACTCTACAGACTCCTTGACGGAGAGCAGAATCTACCTGACGACAACTCAACTTCGTCTTGTTTCCACCTTGATCCGAGACCCTTTGAAGACGAGCAAAACACAGAAGACGTGCTGCCCGTTGTCTGTCTCGACAGCACCACGCGACTTTCCTCCTGCCTGTTGCCAGGCAACAAATTGCAAATTTGGGATTTCGGGAGGAGCCGGCCAATGATAAACCAGGATGGAAGCGTATTTCCTCGTTGAAGTATGTCAAACCACTTTCGGTTTGCTTTGGTTCTGGCATCTTTTAAACTAGGCGTGGTCTCCGATATTGTTTACATTGCAGACCCAAAATGGATCAATGCAAGTGTGAATCTGCTCTCTGGTTTTTGATGCCACATACTCAGGCTTGTCGATTCATGATCGAATGACACCGTCACATTTGCCGAGGCTGCTTTAGCGCTACCGAATCAACCACCTGGACTAACTTTTCCAAGATTGGACACCGTCTTGGGACATCAACGTGGCTGACTCCAAGTCAGCCCCAGAGCCTCCATGGGAGGACGATGCTGGGGATTCTGAAGGAGCCCAAGAGGCTCTTTCACCTTTGACCGCAGAGAGAGACTTGCCTTCACCGCCTCTGTGGGCTCAGATACCACCTGCTGTGCGGAGGCTGGAGGAAGGGGGTGCTGGAGAGGACAAGGGTGGGCTGGTCAATGACTGTACCGATAGAGTCATGGGGCTGCTGGGCATGGGTCATCGCCTGTTTGTGCCCCGACTGCTGGCGGTGAGGGGCAGCTGCTGCAAAAATAGGCCTTCTTCATGTCTGTTTATGTTTTGTGTGTTTATATGTGGCTCTTGTGTGGCCTTTGTATGTGTTTATGTAGGAAACGTGTAGCTGGCTTTTATTTGTCATTCTGTTGAAGGCAATTTTGTTTCACAATGTCTTTTTAATATAAAGAGAAATTTTTATTTATTTATTTTATTAATAATGCTTTGATGCCTTAAGTTGTATATAAACACTTTTTTTTTTTAAATGTTCTATTTTTTTTTATATGTTTTCAATTATCAATTTATTTGTTTGTTTGTATATTTATTATATTTTATTGATAATGCTTTTGATGCCTTACGTTCACTTGCAGCATACAGCATAGGTTCTGTTTATTTTTAAATGGTTTTATTTGTTTGTTTGTTTGTTTGTTTGTTTAATAATGCTTTGATGCCCTAATTCACTTGCAGCATACAAGCTATTTTTTATTTTTAATGTTTTATTTATTTGTTCATTCATTCTATCATGCAATGCTTTAATATATTAAGTTTACTTGCAGCATATAAACTATTCTTTTTATTTTTAATGTACTTTTGTTTGTTTGTTTATTTTTTTATTTTTTTATTTAATGCCTTAAGTTAAATTGCAGCATATAAACTATTCTTTTTTTAATGTGCTTGTTTGTATGTATGTATGTATTTAATGCCTTAAGTGCACTTTCAGCATACAAACTAGTTTTATTATATAAATGTTATTATATATTTAATTAATTAAAAATGCTTTGATGCCTTAGGTTTACATGTAGCATACATGTTAATTTTTTTTGTAAATTTTTAAAAATGTATACATTTTTATTTTATTTATTTATTGTCTTAAGTTCAATTGCAGCAAACAATCTATTATTTATTTTTTTTTTATGTATATTTATTTTATTTTATTTTTTTGTTAGCAAAGTGCAGATTAACATTTGGTTTAATATTGGTTATTTTGGCCATAAAATGAAAGTAATTACTAGATTTTCGCTATCGGCCAGACTTTCAGTATTGGTAGAAATTATGTTGTACTGTGCAAATCTTACTCTTACTCTTGTTGTCATTCGATAGATGGATTTAAATATCTGATTTATGCTCAAACAATATAGCATCTGTAAAATGTTATGTGGCTTTGTCAGGTTCACAAAAGGCCAATGCAAACATAAGTGAGGAAAATAATCACCTAGCAAAGTTCCTCTTCAGGTATTTTATCAGGTTAATTTTACTGAAATGACACTAAACCAATTCTGTTTTTCTGTCTGCATGCAGACCTCCAAGGAAGACTTGCTTCAAGCTGACTTTGAGGGTACGCTGAAATTTTTCCGGGTCCAGCTCCCAAAACGCTACAGGGCGGCAGAGAACGCTCGGCGCCTGATGGAGCAAGCTTGCAATATCAAGGTAAGAAACAACTCCAAACATCTTTCAAAGCACTATCAAACACTGGGCATTTATTAATATATTTAATATATTTCATTTTGTTTTGCCCTTATTTTTCTATCAATTTAGTGCCAGTTACATGAATTCTGTTGATTTGAAAACCCCAACCATAAATATTATATTTAATTTGAATATTTTAATAATTGATCTACTTTTTTGTTTGTGCTTTGAAAATGAATGAGTTTTTAAATTGCTTTGCTTAAGGTGATGAGGTGTGCTTTTAGTTGTCTGATCAGTTGGATTTATGCATGGCGGATGATGAAATGGGTGGAAACCTATGGACTTATGTTGAAGGAGTTAATGATGTAATCCCAGGTCACTTTTGCATTGTTTGAGAAATGTGAGGCACTACACCACAAAGCTAGCATGCAGTTATTCAGAGAATGCAGAGACCTTGTCTGCGTTTCAAGGCTCTATTGAGACAAGGTGGAGTTAAGACTCAAGGATAAATACCTACAATTCTCTGCCTCAAACCCATTCCACATGACTTCTATAGGCTCTGACCTATTTTCCGCTGGGGTTATTGCTTCTTCCATACATTCATGCTTTAAAGAGTTTATTTTTGTTGGGGGGCAGGGGTTTTATTTATTTATTTGTGTGATGTTGAGTGTGCATGTTCAGGAAGGAAGGAGGAGAAAAGATCAAGATAATACTGTGTTCATCTCCTCCCTCCTACTTCTCTTTCTCCTTCTTTTTGTAAAGCAGTCTTGCTGTCACTAACAGCAGGATTTCCTGTGCCCCAGTCGCTCACTGCTGTGCTTCAGTAATGCAGTAATTGTATAATGCACTGGTTAACTAGGGATGACTGTTTGTTTGTACGCTACAATTAATTCCGACATTGAGAATGTTTTGTCCAAACAGTGTTGCTAAAGGGATAATTTCTTGGATATGGCTAGTATCCATGTATGTACTTTTACATAGAAGTAGAAAAGAAAAATTAGAGAGGGTGAATCACTCTGTGGGGAAACCAGCACCTGAGTGAGGTGATGTAACAGGTGCATTTATCAACAAATCAGCAAAAAGAGAGCAGCTTCATTTTACGCTAGTATCATGTGTCTGTAGGATCATTATCCTTTGTTTTTCCTTTGTATGGCACTTTCAACTCCAAGTCCACACCCACCTCCATGCACCCTTGATCCACGTCTCTTCCACGCCCTAACGGGAAGGATAGGTTTATACCTGCAGCATTTACGCCACAGACTTCATTTGGACTACTTGCGATTTGCTCAGGTCTGTTGTTATTGTTCCTTTGGAGAGAAGACCATAAGCACAAGCCGTCTGATCCTTCTGATTTTGCAACTGGATTTTCTCTACATCTTGCCAAGTGGTGTTTTGCCCATGTAAATGAGTTCTGCACCGTCATTGCTGCCAGCATCTGTGTTGACCACGCCTCATTGGCGCCCGTGTGCGTATGTGTACCACACTTTCCTCTTTATCTTATGCAAACAAAAGTGAAAGACAGACAGGAGAGCAGATCAATGAGATGTTTCATCCAAAATCAACGCTGGAATGGGCAAATAAAGACATTTAGACTGCCATTCAACCTCAAAACTGTTATTTTTATCCTCACCGTCTCCGATCTTGTTAGTTCCTAGAAGATTCTGCCACTGGGATGTCAAGTGGATGTGTTTTATGAGACGGCTATGAGGCAGGAGACTGTGTAGCAAGGACAGGAAGCCTTGTTGCCGTATCTCCATATCAGACCTGGACACCAGACACCACACACACACACACACACACACAGACCATGAAGCTGTGCACAGATTGCTTCTGCCACCCGTGATCCCGTCCGTTTCTAATCACATGTGCAAGAAGAGGAAATGCAAAGCGGTCGTTACTCTTTGAAATGGTGTGAATTTAAAGAGGATCAAGTCGCTGGGTAATAAGCTTACAGGGTGATGGAATTCACAGGCACCTGCTTGCGTCGAAAGCACAAGCTGTACGAACTTCCCCCTCGGCAGATTACGAGCTGAATTCCAGATTTCACATCCTCTTGATATTGAAAGAGGACTTAATCGAAAGGAGACATGCTTTGAGAGTGGAAACAGCTTAGAGGAATCAGCCTTGGAGAACTCCGACCACATTCCATCTCGAGTCCTCAACTTGTAGATGTTTGCGTTTGGATACTTATTAAACCAGGAACAAACCCACTTTATTTCTCTTGGGAGGAAAAACGAGGCCTGATGAGAAGATAAAGAGAGAACCACCAGGGGAGTTTGAAGACCCCATTGTGGTTTGTCTGACAAACCAAAATTTCCCCTGCCTCTTCAACCTTTTCCGCTTGTCTGGCTCTTCATATTTCCAGTGGTAACTACCACTATCCTTGCGACTGTAACGATAAGAGTCATCACTGCACAACTCCGACGATTTTGCAGTTTCGAGTCGGCAGACAAGCACAGAGATTCTTCTCTTTGGAGGAATTGAGCAGGATACACGATCCTTGGAAGACAAAACCAGGTGTTTGTGTGAGAGAGAGAGGGTGTTCCTCTATGGTCCACCCCCATGTGTTTGGGTGTTTATTTCCCGCCTCAAGGGGCCAGCTCTCATCCGTAAAGAAACTTGTCAGCTGGTCTCGGCAGACTTCTCAGCTCTCTCCTCCTCATTTCCTCCTCCCTCCCTCCCTTGTTTCGCGAAGCTCACCTGTCTCGCTCAGTGCTCCTCGCAGAAACTTTGCCAAGATGATGCAGGAAGTGTCGATAACGGTGGCTTACAACGCTCATGTTATCAATCAGATCAACGAGGAAGATTTCTTCACCAGTCTGGTGGCTGACTCCAAACCCAAACCGGTGGTAAGTCTCACTCAAACGGCTGTTTTTACTTTCAGGAATTGACAAGAACATCATCTAGTCTTGTTGTACAAGCCTTTTTCCTCTGAGTTTGTTCGTTTGATACTGTCTAACGCTTTCCACTCTGTGAGAAATGTCCTGTAATGAAATTACAATTTTCCCCATTATGTCTTTATTCCAAGGAATGCCAACTTAGAGCTGAAAATACTATGTGTGTGTGCTGGTAAGATGATGAACATGGTGTAGCAAGTGATTGGTTGTCAACCTAATGCAATTTTGTGACTCTCTTTTCCCCTCAAATAGATGTTTTGAATACTCACATGAGCCTAGTGACCTTAATATTCAAACATTGTCCAGTCTCTGGCAATCGCACTGGTTTAACAAATTCGATTAATCAAAATTAAGCTTTGCTGTTTTTACTTTGTAACTTGGTGTAAATAAGTTCTGTGGCAATGTTTTAGCTGTAAAAGATGGTAGGAAATCACTCATTCTGGTATTGAGAAGTGTTTCAGTTTGTGTATATTCAGGTTTGTAGGAAACGTGTGTTAATGTCAACGTGAATGGAAAATGAAGATCAGCTACTCATTCGTACCTGTGTAGGTGTTTTGAGTATATACAAAAACGTCATTTACACCAACCACGTTTGTTGAGGTGAAACCTACAGGATGAACTTTCCATATGTATATGACTGTGAGTGTTAAACCGAATGAACGGTTGTGCTGAGAGCTTGACTTTCATGTCGGTTGTGCCATTTCAACGTCATTTTGTGGTCTGTGGCTACGCAACACATCCGGACTGAATGTTCATTTAACATCTCTTCATCTAATGATGCCTGGCCTCTATCTGCGCCCCTGACTGTCAGATTAATAGACTGATGCTTATTCCTATTTACTTTTCCTTTTTTTCTGTAAAGAATCTATAGCCCTAACCTTAAGTATTAAACTTTGGCGGACGATGATGTTTGTCTGATGAGCGATAAAATTGTCTTTAAGAGATATCTAGACATCAGAGTATCAAAGAGTTTTTGTTTTTCTTGTAACCACCCAGAACCCTCTAAAAACCACCTAACAACCACCCAGAACACCATAGCATCTGCTAACTACCATACAGATCCCCCTAACAACCATTCAGAAATAAAATTTAAAAAAACAAATATCTCCTTAGAAACCACCCCAGAACACCATAGCAACTGCCTAGCAACCACCTAGAACTCAGAAACCACCCAGATCCCCTGAGCAACCACCTAACCAACCACCCAGAACACCATAGCAACTGCCTAGCAACCAGACAGATCTCCCTAGCAACCACCCAAAACTAAAAAAAACAGCCAGATACCTTTAGGAACCACCCCAAACATCATAGCAACTTCCAGAAACCACCCAGATCCCCTGAGCAACCACCTTACAACCGCCCAGAACACCATAGCAACTGCCTAGCAACCATACAGATCTCCCTAGCAACCTCCCAAAACAAACAAAAAACACCCAGTTTCCCTTAAAAACCACCCAGAACATCGTAGCGTCTGCCTAGCAACCACCCATATCCCCCTAGCAGCCATGCAAAACACCTTGACAACCACCTAGCAACTGTATTCCCTCTTTTATTTCTCTTTTTCTGTCCCTGTCCTGATGTTATCATTTGTTTCCTTATCCTCCTCGTTCACTGTGTTCTAAAGAGTTTGTATCATGTTCACATTCCTCGAACAGCACAACGAACACTTTGTGCTGCAGTAGAAAGGCAAAGGTGGCAGTTTGAAGCCTTTTTTCACAGAAGAAGTCCGCTTACCCAAGCACAAGCTTTTGCCTTGTCATCGTTACAACTGCTTTCGCAAAAACAAGCCTCCAGTGCCATTATGGCTTCAGTGATAACACAAGTGGTGTGACAGTTTCTCGCTCCGATGACTCTCATCCTGAGGTCAGAGGTCAAACACACTGTGTTGTATGGTGCTGTGAATGACACTCAACAATGAGCTACTCTTCAAAAGAACTGATGCCATTACAGATAAGAAAAAGGCTCCTTTTGTGTTTGTAAGACTTGAATAAAGTGGAAACAGAACTTGGGAGACATGAAATGACTTTCTCAAGTGAGAACACTGTTGATGTGCTTCACTTTTCGCTAGCATGTTGTGTGGAAACCCCAAACGGCTGTTTGTTTGGCTTCAAAACGCTGTGCTGGGTGGCAGTAAGCATTTCTGCTTTGTGTGTGAGCAGTTTCAAACTCAAATTAAGAAACAAATTATGAAAGGCTTTATGAAGACTGATCCCAGACCTGCTGAATGAATATTGTAATAAACAAAGTCTCCTGCAGTAAAGCGGCAGTAAACCTGGATGAAGAGATCCCCTCAGGACCGGCTTGACTGAGCGCACTCCACCCTCAGAGACTCCATGCTAACTCCGACTGTGCTGCCATAGCAACCGGCACGAGCGCTGTGCTTTTAAAGGCTCCTGAGTCAGACAGTTTTGGCCTTTTTGTTGTTAAGGAAGTTTAGGAAAGGCTTGTGTCAGTTTTGTTTTTGAAGTTCATAGTGCTGCACAATGTTGTTTGCCGATTATTATCTTACCAAATATGTGGAAAAATTATCTGTGTCTATCTATATATATATATATATATATATATACATATATATATATGTGTGTGTATGTTTGTGTCATTACATAATTAAAAAATAAACAATTACATTTAAATAAAACATAATAAATTAGTTATAATATGATGTTACTGTATAGTATTTGTAAAAAATTATTTTGTAATTTTCTGTTATACTGTAAATCCTTTTTTATTATGAGAATTTGGAAGATTAAAGAAAATGTAAAAAAAAAAAAAAGTGTATTTAAAAATACATAAAAAGTAATTTTAAAATATTCCAGTTGATATTTTAAGAAATGCTCTACCCTTTCCATAAACGTAATAATATATTTAATGATTTGTACTTTTAACTTCACTAGTAGTGAACAGCCTTTTTATAAATTACATTATTATTTAGTATATTTCTATGCTATATAATCTTGATTTTATTTTTTATACAATTTTATATTAAAAATTTTTTAAGAATTTCTTTACATACAAGTAATTATTTTGTATATAATATCAATACAAAGCATATTTTGATTGTGTTATTATTTTTTACATATTTTGAAAATTATAACTATAATATCATGTTTTAATGTTCTAACCATTCAGCTGTTCATCAAATATACATTTTAATACTTTTAATAGTGTGTGTGTGTGTGTATGTGTATTATATATATATGTATATGTATATATATATGTGTATATATATACACCTTGCTACGTGTACTGTGTTAGGCTAACCGAGACTTGTCATTTGCACTTATATATTGTTGCTCTTTTGTTAGTTTTGACTGCTTTTATTGTCCTCATTTGTAAGTCGCTTTGGATAAAAGCGTCTGCTAAATGACTAAATAAATAAATAATACATTTAACATATTGCCAATTATACATTTTTATCAAGTAATGTCCTAACCATTTGTAAAAATGATCAAATATGTAATGGTTAATTTTCTATATAGTATCAGAATAAAATGTTTAATGTTTTATTAAAAAACAACAACAACAAAATTTTATTTGGCCTTGGCATTTTGAGGAGGGGGGGGGTGCTTTTGACTTTATTTTTTTTTATTTTATTTGTTTTAAATATACAGTATTTATGAAGCATAATGACTTTACTGAACATTAGTGCTGATTGTCTTGTTATATCTGCTGGTATACATTTTTCAGACCTGATCTCTGATTTCCTGTCTTCCTCAGGTGCCAACAAAGAAGCTTAAGAAGTTTGAGAAGGAGTATCAGTCTCTGAGAGAGAGCCAGCTGCAGCAGGAAGACCCTATAGACCGATATCAGGTAAGCAAGAACCTGATTTAGCTCCTCCTCCTCCAGTCCTCATCCTCTCCTCCTACATTCATCTTCATCTCACTCTGTCTCAGTTCAGGACTGTGTAACGGACCACACTGGAAACCACAGACTCTGTTCGGCTCAGGGAAAGAGCAAAACGCTCGCTCGCATTGTAGATTCTTGTTTTGTACTGCTGTTATTTTATACAAATAATTTATTTTTTGAGATCTATATGAAGGAAAAGTGATATTTTTTTGTTTTTAATTTAAGTGCCATGTTTATTTTTATCATTAAAAACACAGAGCAGCTAACATGCAGCTTTTGTGTTTTTTAGCATATTTGAGTCTCATGTTTACATTAACTGAAATGTAAGGCATTTTTTTATTTTATTTAAATGGATCGTGTTTATTGAATGTATTATACTTTTTTATATTTTTAGATTTATGTTGTTCATATGAAAAAAATTTAATGTGTAATCCTAAGCTATATTTTTGACATTCAAATGTCTTGGTGGAATAAATGTGCTTTCTCAAGCATCGTGTAATGTTGAAAAGCTAACCATACTATTAAAGGAAGCTCCATTACACACTGGTTTCCTTGCTGTCACTTCCTGTTTACCCTCTCCCTCGCTCAACCAACTAACCAATGAGATTCCCCCACTCACCCATTTAACCAATGAGCTGTGGCGGGGGGTGGAGCATGGACAGGCGGTGTTGTATTTGTCGGTCGCTGCTGGATGGGGAAGGCCTCTGCGGTTCTTGTTCTAGGGTGTAGTGTTGACTGTGGTGTTGGGTCTACGGTGCAGGTAAGCCTTCAGCCCACCAGCGCTCATCGGCTACTAACATCTGCCTGCATGTGTGTTCGACTCTCTGATCCATTTGAAATGATTGCCTCAAGCCTTTCCATGTTACTTCAACTGCTGTGCACAACCTAACCAGCGGTGTGTGTGTGTGTGTTTGTGTTTGTAAATGGAAGTCAGATGACGGCTTTCCTCTTCCTGATAAGAAAATGTGTGTCATGTGAGGCGGTGGGAGACTCCCTGTGACAGTGCCAACTCTCTAATCAGGCAACGCAGAGTCACACTGCGGTCGTTCAGTGTTATTTCTCAAGAGTGGATGCGAAATACTGGGCCTAGATCAGCATGTGATCTCTAAGTGTCTTTAAATATGGCTCCTAGTCTCCTGTAGTTTCTTTTTTTTTAGTAAATGCGCAGCTTTTTTGGTGTTTCCTGCTTTTATTTAAGGGTGGAGGGGGCTGTCTGTTAAATTATAAATTATAATTCCAATTAAATAATTTTTTTAATATTTAACAAATAAATATTACTATTATTATATTTCTTTATTTTATATTATTATCTTTTTTATTTTTATATTATTTATTATCTTTCTATAATTATAAAATATTTTATAATTTAATGTATTTTCATTTACTATATTAATTAATTTTTCACTTACTATTATTAATTCATTTTTTAAATGTTCCATTATTATCTTATTACCTAGCTAGCTATACTGTCTTTATTATTAAAATGATTTTTTTTCTGTCCTACAATTACCTTAATTTATTATCTCTACATATCTCTCTACTATTATTATTATACATAAATATATACGATATTACATTTTTATATAATTTTCTTTCTTTGTACATTTTTATGCTCTCAGTGCTGACAAAAAAAATCATACCTGGTTAGGACGCAGTGTAAATGACAGAAAATGTAAATTGTCCAAATATATTAAAACATTTCATGGAAGAAATTTTTGACATTATTATATGCCATTTTACTTTGTTGCATTTATGTATTTGCAAAGTGGTGCAATTTACACAATCATGTACTTGCCTAGACCTTTGTTATGCTTACATGTGAGTGATTGGGGAATTTGAGTCTGTAGCTTGTGCAAAGCTAGCCTTGCAGTCTTCTCAGTCTCTGTCTGTAAATCTGCACGAGTTCCCCACCATAAGGTGATAAATTAACTGTCTATATGTCCCTGCAGAGAGAAAACCGGCGGTTGCAGGAGGCCAGTATGCGTCTGGAGCAGGAGAACGATGATCTTGCCCATGAACTGGTGACCAGCAAGATAGCACTGAGGAATGACCTGGACCAGGTATTTCTACACTAGTTAACACACTTAGCTTTGTTTAAATCTTGTGTTAATAAGTGTTGCGTTTTCAGGCTGAGGACAAAGCTGATGTTTTAAACAAAGAACTGCTCAACACTAAACAACGCCTGGTAGAGACCAAGGAGGAGAAGAGAAGGCAAGAGGAGGAGACGGCACAGGTACGAGGACTGAGGACACAAAATGTGGCTAAAGTATTACATTTCACTGCTATGGATTGTACGATAAAGTTTTTGCTTTTCAGCTGAAGGAAGTGTTCAGAAGAGAGCTGGAGAAAGCGGAGTTAGAGATCAAGAAGACCACAGCCATCATAGCCGAGTATAAACAAGTATGTCCAAGTGTCCCGTATAAATCTAGAAATCACATAATCCTCAAAATTCACCCCACATATTCACTTCAGGACAAGATTATTATGCTGTAAAAAATGAAACATATGGAGTTGTACATAAAGATTATTGGAATATGTTTTACAATAAAATATTATTTAAGTTTTTCTAATTTCACATTTAATTCAATGCATTACAATTTGTAATTATTTGTGAATTTTATTAGGAATTTTTGAGTGAAAATTGTTTCAAAATCTCGTTTTACTTTTGTAATTGTATTTACTTATTTACTTTATTTTTAATTTGTGCCCTAAATCTCATAGTTATGACTTTTTTTATGCAATTATGCTTTAATCTCATAATTTTGAGATTTAAAAATCTCGTAATGATAAAATAAAATATTTTTCAAAACTTAAACTTATTTGATTTTAACTAGTTTCCAAGGAAACATTTCTCATTTTCATTTAGTTTAACTTGAGGTATTAAAATAACTAAAATTAAAACTGAAAAATGACTAAAGAAAGACTATAAAAATACTACCAAAAAAACTAATACAAATAACAGAAATTCAACAAAATTACTAAAACAAACTAAAAATATTAAACTAATTTGTTGTCAATCGATTAATCACAATTAATCACACCCGAAATAATATATGGGTGTGTACTATGTATATATAAATACACACACAGACATATGTATATATATTCAAGAAATATTTGCGTGTATATATATATAGATAGATAGATTCTTTTTATTTTATATAAATATAAATATATATTACGTATATTTCTTAAATATATACTGTAGATGTATGTGTGTGTATTTATATATAAATATACACAGTACACACCCATATATGATGCAAACACAAACTTTTATTTTGGATGTGATTAATCGATTTGGCAGTCCTAATTCAAACTATTAATAAAATCTATAAGAGTATCTCAATTATACTAAAATAACTGCTTCAGGAATTTACACCCTTATTTACACTCTTTTGAGTATTTATTGTGATGGATAGAGTATAATAAGGTCTGAAATTGTATTTTCTGTTTGCATTAGATATGTTCCCAGTTAAGTACGAGGCTGGAGAAACAGCAGGCGTCCACAAAAGAGGAACTGGATATAGTTAAAGTAAGTAAATCATCTGTGCATACTCTTATATGGCACGTTGAGCAGTGACAATCAGTATATGTTGTTCTTTCAGGCTAAAGTGATGGCGTGTGAGCGCTGTAGGGAAGTGTTCAGCAAAGACGGACCCCTGCAGATCCCGGCGGTGAGTCAGGACAACCGGGACACAGACCTGGATGAGGAGAAGGACTCGCTGAAGGCCCAGCTCAGAGAGCTAGAACTAGAGCTGGCGCAAACCAAACTCCAGCTGGTGGAGGCCAAGTGCAAGATCCAGGTCAGACGTCACGGCATATAAAACAACATAGTGCTGGAGATTTATGGCTGTATAGATTTATAGATGCTATTCAGCTACTAATCAACTCAGCAGCAGCAGGTAGAAATTTGAAATCAGTGTTTTATAGATAGTTTGTATCTTACTACAATTTAGTGCCACATTGACATTATAAGAATACAGTCGTAACATTGTGAGAGTAGTTCTAACTATTTGTAACAATTTGGGAATAAAGTCATTGTGTTTCCAGTATGTTGCTTTGATATTGCTTTTCTTTATGACTTTCTCATAATATTCAGAATTTTATAATTCTGTGACTTTGTTCGAAATTTAGATTTTCGTTTTCAAAATATTACTATTATAATCTTGCAATGTTACGAGTTTATACATTTTTATTTATCTTGTAATGTTACAACTTTGTTCATGTAAATTGATTTAAATCACATTATGACTGTTCACATACTTTTGCTTTAATCCCATCATTTTTACTTTATTTACGCAATATTGACTTAAATCTCATAATGTTTTGACTGTTCACATAATTTTGCTTTAATCTCATAATTTTTTTTCTTTATTTGCTTTAATTTTGAGCAAATGTTTTGTTAAGATTTCATTCTCGCAATGATTTTAATTTCCTAATGTTACGACTTTGTTCTTGAAATTTTGACTTTAATCTTGTAATCTTAACTTTATTCTTGTAGTTTGGACTTTTTCCAAAGTATTACATTTTCCAAGTATTACTAATTTAATCTTGTACTGTTAAGACTTTATTCTCAAAACCTTTACTTTATTCCAGTAAATGATCGACTTCTTTCTTTTTGTTTGGTCGCACTAAAATGCTGTTGTAGTGTCTTACCAAACAATCTTAGCAAACGAGTTATATATTTTAATAAGCAGTTTGCAGCGATGCCACAGTTTACAGTTACTTTAATGTTGTTTATTCATGTACTGTAACAGGAGCTGGAGCATCAGAGGGGTGTTTTGATGACTGAGGTCCAAGCTGCCAAAAACTCCTGGTTCAGTAAAACACTGGGCTCCCTCAAGAATTCAGCCAGTAACCAGGCACCCTCCTCACCCAAAGAGGGCCAGTAGGACTCGCCAAGGGCTTAACCAAAGGGTAGAGGAGCGTGACCCTTCCACTTGGCCAATCGGAGTAGAAAACAAGCTCTAATGAACACTACTAGCAGCACAACATGGCAATGCAGTGTTCCCTCACATGGACTAATGGATGACTTCCACATACACTTAACAGTATGTTATGATTTCCTTAGCTTGTGATGCCACGTACTGGACAGTAACAGTACTACAGTGATTATTATGTTCATCCAGTTATCAACTTCTGCAGATGGATTTTTTTGTTAGTAAACAGTCAGTTCTAACATGCAAGTACATAAACTATGACCTTTAGACGCCAATTCAAAGGTTTTTTTTTTCTCAGAGGGAATACTGCATTCTGCTAACTATTACAAGAAAAAAAATCGTTTGTTTTTCTATATAGAAATAATAAATGTAACTTTTGTCATAAGTGTGTATAACTAAATGTTGATTTTTCTTTTAATCTTGTACAGTTCGGAAAGAAAAGTGTTGCATTATTTTTTACGATCTTTATAAATGTCAAATACCGAAAAGCACAGACAAATTGACCATGTATCACATGACATTCCCTCCGTCCTGTAGACTGTTTGAGGGTCCGTTTAGGAGTGAGCTGATCACGTGAGACTTATCAGATGACACACAATGGCTACACAATATTGACCTGCCAAGTCGCACATAGTGCTTATTTTATGTTATTTAACAGGTATACATGAGCCATTCGGTGACGGATGCCATGCAGAAATCAAGAATGTGTTGAGATGTCTCATTTTTTTAAGGACATAAGTAAACCAGGTCGCGCAGATGTATTGTTTAGGTCAGTGTGACTTCAAAGCCATATGAAGTCAGTCTTTGCTTCATTTCTTCTGCTATTTGTCAGAATATCCATATTAATAACTTCACTCTACGTAGGGAAGTGAAATATTCTGCATGGCTCATATTCACACTAACAAGTCACCATATTGTGAACATGCTTTATTTACACTGATGTAAGAAAAAAATATTTCTTGTCTCCTATTTTGGATTTTTTTTTAACTGTGATTTAAACTGTGATTTAAAGATGCCAAACTAATTATACAAATTAAGAAAGAGATGTCAGTTGAATATAAACTTATAGTGCTGTCCTGTGGGTTTCTATGGATGGTTACAGGTGTTTTTACATAACGTAATCTACAGGACAGAAGACATTGCTTCTGTGCGTTTGGTTTATTGTCGGTTCATCAGTTTCATTGTTCCAGCCTGCTGATGTCTGTCTAATTACTATCTGACAGTAAATATCTGGTTCTTGATCCCATGTGTGACTACGAGTCTGCTTCATTTGATTCACACCTTTCGTTCAATAAACAGTAACTGTAATTCATCTGTTGGTCAGTATATTATCGTTTCTTTGTGGTTTTGCTAGTTCCATTATTAACTCGTTTTCACTTACCTTTCTGCTTTATTCATATATATATATATATATAGGGCTGGGCGATCATTCGGTGACGATAATTATCGCGATATACTGTTCCGCGATAACACGATATGAGGAGTTCGGTAAATGTTCGATAGAATATTTATGCGCCAAAGCCGGAACGAAACCGCGCGACTCATTTAAATCGCGCCACAGGGACTGTTTATCTATGGAAGGACGGACCTTTTAGCCTTCCATATTTATCCGCTCAGATCAAAGTTCAATATATATATATATATATATATATATATATACACACATATATGTATGTGTGTGTGTGTGTATTAATTATAATTTGGACTGATTTACTTCATTTTATAGGACAGTACAAGGGGAGCTCGAAGCAGGACTCGAACTCAGGTCGCCCGAGATGATGCAGCTCCACTTCAGACTTGGCACACAGTACTCCGTGAAAGTGAAGAAATTTAGACATACGTTCAGAACAAAGTTATTTTTGTGTAATTAAAATGTAATATATACTACTGTATTATTTTTATGTAAACTGTTAATAAATAGAATATTCCCTGCAGAGATGACGGGTCAGAATGTGTCCTATGGCGGCACTACCTGGTATCACGATACTTACACATGTACCTCAGGTTAGACGAGCGTGGAAACGTCAAGAATGTGAATAAGGTAAGTTCTCAAATTTTCCTACAATCTACTTGTAAAATGTCCATATTCACTAAAATTGTAGTGAGTTCAGTCCGCTTTGCTCGCAAATCATCTTAAAATCACAAGCACGTTAAACATAGTCCAGTGCCTCAGTCAGTCAAATGTTTAATAGCTATTAGCAAACAGTTAACAGTGCATGTTAACGGTTTCAATACAAAAGTTTTTCCTAAATGGTCTTTTCGTCACCCCAAAAATACTGTTTTCTACTAAAACTGTCATTTGTACATGCACTCACCATTTCAGTATTACATTTTTAAAGCTGATTGGTTGGTTAATTATTGACACAATATAGTATAATAACTAAAGTGACCATTATTGTTAAAAATTTACATAAAATTACTCAATTGACCATATACATGTACCTATACCATATACATATTTCATATTTTCTACTACATTCTATTCTCTACTCTCTATTCTCTACTATCATATATAACACACACACATATATATATATATATATATATATATATATATATAACAGTAGCACTTTATTTGGGTTTGTCCTCCATGGAACAGACATCATCCAGATAGTCGTCTGCAAAGTGGAGCATCTGCTGTAAAGCGGTGAGAAGCAAGACGTCACAGTTGAGCTCCAGCTCCAGCTCCTGACTGTAGTTCTTCACCGGTAACACACAAGACACCGGCACACCCAACCGAGAGCTCACCTCCTGCACCTGCAGACACAAAACAACACCTCCCTCACTCTGAGTCCTGTAGGAACAGACCATGTGATCATGTGACCGCCTCTCACCTTTGACTTGATGTAGGAACTGACATAAAGACTTTGAAGGTCCTTCTCCACTAGAGGACATGCTTCATCTACTTTTGTCATCAAGACGATCTGAGCAATGCCTGAAATTGCACATGTTAAGGTACGTTGTGTGCAACTCTGTCAGGTAGATCAATGTATAACCTACTTTGTATTAGTCACAAGGTGCAAATATGTTCTCTTACCCAGTGAGTTCACTTTTCTGCGTATGGAAGCAAGTTTTTCCTGTAGTTTGTCGGACATGAGGGAGATTTTAGTGGCATCTATCACGTACACCACACAGTGGATCTTCTCCTGTAGAGATGCAGGTCTGGAGGCCTTTTGCTCATCAGGTTGAAAAGGTACCATGGGGTTAAACTGAATTGAGAGGATTTTGCATGAAACAAACATCAGTCTCACTTCAACTTTCATTCATTTTTAGAGATGAGTGCACTTACTTTATAGCGGTCTGGTACGTGACCTTGAAGAATGCTGCTGATGTCCTCAATATCCAGTCCTGCACCTGTTTGCTCCTCGAGTCCCATGGTGTCACACAACACAAACGGCAACGGCTTTCCCTCACGACCGTCTTTCACTGGATATGTGCGAAACTACCGACCAAGAAGAGAATCACATCAACACCTGAAGTCATCAAGAGACGTTTCTTGAGCTCTAATAGGAAACGTGATAATCTTATTAAATCTGTACCTGTGTGGTGAGACTAGTTCCTGCAGATCCTGACATGGCTTTGCTAGTCATTCGACCCATGAAGATGGAGTTGATGGAGTTGAAGAAACTGGATTTTCCAGCACCTACAGGACCGATCATTAGGATTCTGACCCGACTCACAGACGTCATCAGGGGTTTATGATTCCTGACCATTTCCATGAGCTTGTCTTTTCGTCTACAACACAGATCACATTTTTATAGCTGTATATCAAATTACAATGAGCTAACAAACCAAAACCTGAGTAGAAACATACTCAGCTGTCCACAGAACGTTCCTCCAAGGCTTCTCCTCAGTACTGACTGCAGAGCCTGGCAAATAATAAAATGTTAACAATAAAGATTAAGGTAAAGTACTTAAAAAGACTGAAACTTCTTGTACATGACTATATTCGGTTAAAAAAAATCTGGTGATTGGCTTACTTTGCTCCACTTTGTACACCTCACATTCACTCAGTTGAGTGTCGTTTCCATACATTGTTGCTGTGTTAAGACTGAATGCACTGCTTCCAGAATTATACACTACTGGTTGATTGTTGTAGCAAAAGTACAACTGTTGGCCAAAGTTGGGCACTCCAGCGTCATCGATACGTGCATTATAGCCACTGTTAACTTTGATGCACACAGGGATCTTGCCTTGAAAGCTGAATAAGAATATGCCCTCATCTGTAATATACTGACCACTTTGAGTATAATCTACACTAGTGTATCCACCAAAGATGTAGCCTGAACGGTTGTAGGCTACAAGTAAGGTGGGACCCTGACGGTCACATCGCTGGTGAAAGGCAGAAGCTTGATATCCATGAACGGAAGCTTTGTAGAGAAGAGACAGTTCCACATTCCCCAGCAAGCCGCAGAGCTGCTTTCTTTTCTCTTCTGTTAAATCAGACGTGAGTGGAGCGTTGAGAGTGCTGGATCCCCTGAAAACTGAATGCATCTAAACAAGAAAAAGGATATATATGATTTGAATTCTGTGTAACAGACACACATAGACACGAGCAGTCATATGACTTGTTTTCTGAAAGCCCTGCGAACTAACCGAAGATTAGCCGGAAACGAAACTGAAACTAAAGCTAAATCTGCTCCAATAAAATACAGTATTATTTAGGCTACTGTATATAAACATTGCGTATTTGTGCACTATATTTTTTTGTATTTATACATTTTATATCGAGTATATATTTTACCTTTCGCATCCCCTTTCTCTCTGAAGAAATAATGAAACGCTGCTTTATGTCTTACATCCACAGCCGAACGCGTCACGTCGAGCTCCCTCTAATCACACAACAACCTAGTAATCGAAGCTCTTCGCTCAGTACTAGGCGATAATACTATGCTGTCGCTGTTTGAAGCTGGTCGTTGACCTGTTCACGTTATAGTTTTTAAACTGCGAGTTGAAAATGAACAGCAGGATAACGGGCTGTTATTGTATACCCAAAATAACAGGAAGCGGATGACACCGGAGGCTTTGCACCTTTAAAAATCGCGCACACTTTTATGTTAAAATTAAGGCGGGTAGCAGATTTTCAATCATCTTGGGAGACATTTCGACTCTTTCGTTTATTTGATGTTTAGCAAATGATATTTTTAACTGCGTTAACTAGTCTATTTAAACAGAATCAGTGCTACATGTTTTGTCTCAAAACATCTAGACATTATTTATTACCAAAAACACTTTACAAAAGTAGTTGAACATAGCATAAATTGGCAGTAGCCTGAAAATCACAACAGAAGTGAAGAATTCATAATCCTTTAATATTCATTAGGATAGAAGCACGTGTGTAAAAAGAGAAATTACATTAAATCGAGTGAAAGTTTAAAAATGTGTACTAACTTAGCTGTATACTCATACCTGTCAACATTTGGGTACCAAAATACGGGAGGGGGGGCGGAGTCAAAAGTAAAAAAAAATTATATTATATTATTTTTCAGGTGGCGCTTTTCGCCAGGAATATAGCCGTTTCCCCCGTAACCACAGTAAACAAAACAACTCAGCACCTGACTTTGAAACTTGCAGCGCTCATATTTAATCAATTAAATAGCATTTTGAAGTGTAAGCTATATCTCATTATAAATGTAAATATACTTTTACATTACATTTTAATTTTTTTCGCCTCGCCGTCGCGAGAGTTTTTTTTGCACACGTCAGCATGACGTCAGAGCAAGTCGGAGGTAAATCGGACACTTTTCTAACCGGCATGCATCTCGCGGTGATCACCGGTGATCGATTCTGCGCAGAATTTGCTCATCTCAAACAAGCCTATTGTTTCCTTCCCGCTACTACCTGCGCACACATCAATAGCATCACTGGGCTGTAGGTTGCCAAATTGAGTGGAGAAATGGGTTGAAATATGTATGCGTCGATCGTGTGAGAAAGATGCGTTTCATACAAGATCTGGCAACTGGACAACCTTGGAATTTGTTGTCGTGATTATTCATATAATGAGGTTTGGCCCAAATTACGGGAGTTTTACCGGAACCGAATGTAGCAAACATATAAAATACGCCCAGTGGGATTTTTTTTTTTTAAATAGAAAGATTAAAAATACGGGAGAAATACGAGAAAATATTTAAACGGGATGATAGCGGGATAGAATGGTAAAATACGGGAGAATCCCGGGAAAAACGGGAGGGTTGACAGGTATGTGTATACTTAATATGTAAAAATAAGTAAACATCTTCAGAAGTAAACTGAACTCGTAGTTCAGTGAAATTCTAGACCAAAAGTATAAAAGTACTGAATATTTTTGCATACATGTAAATGACAGAGAAAGACCAGTCTGTGATTAAGTTCTGTAAATGATTCGAAGAGCTTTTGATTGGGCCTTTTCTGAATCTGACCTCAGCCACAAGAACTGAGAAAAAAAAATTATTTAGGGTTGGCTTCCACAGGACGTATATCATCAAAATAGTCGTCTGCAAAGTTGAGGACGTCAACAGGACGTCACAGTTGAGCTCCAGCTCCAGCTCCTGACTGTAGTTCTTCACCGGTAACACACAAGACACCGGCACACCCAACCGAGAGCTCACCTCCTGCACCTGCAGACACAAAACAACACCTCCCTCACTCTGAGTCCTGTAGGAACAGACCATGTGATCATGTGACCGCCTCTCACCTTTGACTTGATGTAGGAACTGACATAAAGACTTTGAAGGTCCTTCTCCACTAGAGGACATGCTTCATCTGCTTTTGTCAATCTGTGGAATGCCTACCAGATGGTATATCAATATGCAACATTTTACATTCATTTAGCAGATAGCTTTATCCAAATTTGATCAGATTATAGATCAGTTGTAGTATGACGTTAGTTTACTTAGCGAGTTTACTCTTCGGTGTATCACAGCAAGTTTTTGCTGTAGTTTGTCGGACATGAGGGAGATTTTGGTGGCGTCTATCACGTACAGTGAATCTTCTCCTGTAGAGATGATGGTCTGTAGACCCTTTGCTCATTGTGTTGAAACGGTGCCATGGGGTTGAACTTAAATTTAATGTCAAATTTGTTTGAAATGTCAAGAAGAACAGATATACATTAAACTAATCATCATCATACTCAATGCCATTTTAAAAATACATGAACCATCTTTATGCACTTACTTTATAGCGGTCTGGTACGTGACCTTGAAGAATGCTGCTGATGTCCTCAATATCCAGTCCTGCACCTGTTTGCTCCTCGAGTCCCATGGTGTCACACAACACAAATGGCAACGGCTTTCCCTCACGACCATCTTTCACTGGATATGTGCGAAACTACCAACCAAGAAGAGAATCACATCAACACCTGAAGTCATCAAGAGACGTTTCTTGAGCTCTAATAGGAAACGTGATAATCTTATTAAATCTGTACCTGTGTGGTGAGACTAGTTCCTGCAGATCCTGACATGGCTTTGCTGGTAATGCGGCTCATGAAGATGGAGTTGATGGAGTTGAAGAAACTGGATTTTCCAGCACCTACAGGACCGATCATTAGGATTCTGACCCGACTCACAGACATCATCAGGGGTTTATGATTCCTGATCATTTCCATGAGCTCTGCTCTTCGACTACAACATAGAGCACAACAATTTTGTCAGATCATCCTATGAAATCAGCAACACTATTTAAGTTGCAACATACTTAGCTGTCCACAGAACATTCCTCCATTGCTTGTGTATGGCACTGATCTGAGGGACTGGCAATCGAAATTAATATGAATACAATGTATATTAAATTATATAATCACATGAATAACACTATGACTGACTTTGCTTCACTTTGTACACCTCACATTCAGTCAGTTGAGTGTCGTTCCCATACATTGTTGTCGTATTAACACTGAATGCATTCCCTCTTTGATTTAACACAACTGGTTGGTTGTTGTAGCAAAAGCACAACTGTCCAGCGTCATCGATACGTGCATTATAGCCACTGTTAACTTTGATGCACACAGGGATCTTGCCTTGAAAGCTGAACAGGAAAGCTTCCCTATCAGTAATATACTGACCACTTTGAGTATAATCTACACTAGTGTATCCACCAAAGATGTAGCCTGAACGGTTGTAGGCTACAAGTAAGGTGGGACCCTGACGGTCACATCGCTGGTGAAAGGCAGAAGCTTGATATCCATGAACTGAAGCTTTGTAGAGAAGAGACAGGTCCACATTCCCCAGCAAGCCGCAGGGCTGCTTTCTTTTCCCATCTGTTAATTTCCAAGTGAAGGGAGCAACCATGGACACTTGCGATCCAAATTCAAAAGACTGATACATCTTTGAAAGATAAAAATAAAATAATTTATTACATTGTGCTGACATCTTGTGGTGTGAATATGAAAATCATTCACAAGTTTTCACTTACCGATGACATCGTAAAATGCTCGTCTCAGATAACCATGCTAAATGTATTCCATAAAAAGAAGAGTCAAATAACGAGTTATATAAATAGTAAAGTGTGTAGTATTTGTCTCGCCATGTGACATCAACATGGCGGTTCGAGTGAGGCGACCCGCTTGATGTAAATATAAAACAGCTTTTATTAGGCCACATACTGATATGAGCTTATCTCATGGTTTAAAATATAGGCAGTGTTGGGGAGTAACTTGTTACATGTAACAGAATTATGTAATTTAATTACAAAATAAATGTAACATAATAAATGTATCCGTTACAGTTACTGAGAGAGAAAAAATGTGTAGGCTAATGAAATACAGTTAATTAGGAAAATGTTAACAATTACAAAAGGGGTTACAACTGAATATTTTTTTTAGAAAAAGCTAGGATACATTGAATAATATTAGTTTGCTGTTTTGCCTGTTTTTGATGTGCACGACGCCTCCTGCCACTTAAAGGCTGTTTAGTTCATGGCGAGTGATAAAATGCGTTAGTGCTGGGGGGAAAAAATCATCCAGAATCAGAAAAGGGCCAAAATGGCGCAAATATTGTGAACACGTGTACAGTTAGCGGAAGCTAGAGATGACCGTTTATAAAATTTTAAATATAGATATTTTACTTACAAAAACGCATGGATTTGCTTCAGGGGCCTTTATTCAATAAAATATCAAATGTGAAATACTTTTATATTTCTGAAATATTTATGTCGACTCTAGCTTACCTTTCACAGTCCGCTTTCTCCGTGAAAGAAATAATGAATGAACTCGTCTCGTATGTTAACAATTATGTTACAACATAGTAACAATAGTAACATAGTAATAACTATTTATCTGATTGGCTTGAGTAGACGGTGGGTGGAGTCCACGTATTTGTGGATTGTCAGCACGTCTTGACGCAAGAAATGTTTCACAATTCGCAAATGCACAGTGACCGGACACGATTCACAAATAAATGCCAGGCAAAGTTGTGGTTGTGACATAAATATATATTTGTGAATATGTTTTTTTATTTGCAAATCTCATTTTATTTATTTGTGAATTTAATTCATGTTTGTGAAACTTTAAGGTGTATTTGTGGATCTCATTCTATTTATTTTTCAATATGTTTCATGTTTGTTAAAATCTTTACATTTATTTATGGATCGTAAACTATTTATTTGGAATTATGCAACAATTCTATCTCCATACCCAACTGTCGTCAGCCTCCACACCACCTTGGCTCCTCCCTCCCTTGACTCTGCCGTGGGCTGTCGGCTCTTGGGAGCTCTGGGTCTGTGCCAGCAGCGGACTTCCTCCATCTTCGCCGCCGAGGTTTCGTCGTCCTCCTGCCAGCAGCCCTCATTTCTTTGCCCACCTCCCTAAACCCCTACATCCCTCTGTTCATCTGTTGTTCTGTTACGGCACGAGGTTGCGCCTTGCTTATGTTCGTTAGTTTTAGTTCATGTACTTTAGGTTTGTTATACGGACTATTAGTAGCCTATGTTTTTATCAGTTTTCAGTTTCCTTTGTCTATGTTGCTTGCTCATCATTTGTAATCATTAGTGTCCAGCTGTGTTTGATTAATCATCTCGTTTGGTTTGCTATTTTAGTTGTGCTTTCACTGCCAGTCTCTATCCAGTCACCATTAGGATAGCCTAGTTGTGTGTAGCCTACTACAACCCGTCTGCCTGCTTTTGGAGGTATTATTCAAATGTGCGTTTGAAACTTGATCCTTCTGTCTTCGTCTTCCTGCCTGCTACACAACGTGACACCCCTGTTATCACAGTTTAATAAACACAACACTTTTTTTTCCTGAAGAAAACAATAGATTTTAAATGAGTAAAGATTCAGTAAGGAATCATCTGTAAGCTGTAAGGTGGGACCCTGACGGTCACATCGCTGGTGGAAGGCAGAAGCATTATATCCATGGACTGAAGAGTCTCAGTTTCACTTTCCCCAGTAAGGCTGGGGAAAGTGGGTTGCTCGTCTGTTAAATTAGAAGTGTGAGGAGCCATGCTGAGCTTTTTCAGCCTTTTTTGAATCTTTAAGCGTAGACAAAAATACATAGGCTACACACATTTTATTTATATATTATTATATATAATTTAAAGATATTTTGTGTATGCACAAAAAATATGCAAATTTAATTTACTTTGTTTACTTTCATTTACTTTTTATTGAGTCTTATTTAGTCAGAATTATGTTTTTGTTCTGACTAGTTGTTTCATTTTTTACTCTCATAGAAGTAATCACAGTCACACTGTTTTACTTTGAGTACTTTTACTCTTTTACTTTAACAGTGCAATTCTTTAATTAATGCACATTTCTACATAAATGTATGCATTTTTAACATGGTAATATCTTGACGTTAACATTATTTTCTAACATGGCAGATGAATAAGCCTTACCATAAACAGTGTTTGCCCAGAGCTAGTTTGCATGGGCTAGTCATGCCCTTTCAGAAACAAGGCCATTTAACTAGAATTGAAACTGAAATGCATGACAAAGAATGAATGACTGAATTTAATAACAGTTTGTTAAAATTTAAATACTTTAGATCTGAGAAAAGACTTGCGTGTTTGAAAACTATAGCATGTCCATTAAATTGTGGTAAAATCTAGAACATTAACATTGAATATTTACCTTTGATATTTATATAGACTATGAAGCTTACCTTTCTACTTTGCATTAAAAAAACACTGAAATGCTCTTCATACAAGATGAAAATTAGTACAGCACGATTTCAAGCTGCTCTCTCTTTTCCTCATTACCACACTCATAGATGACAATTGACATTAACTTTGGACATTCACCACAAACAAGGATATGGAAGTCTTTTGCGAGTGTTAATGAACTGTAGATGACCATGACGTCATTCTTAAAACAATTATAGGCTTCATATAATTTCCCTATTGCCATACGTCTTCCTTTTCAATTTTGTGTTTCTGTTTTGACAAAATCTTAAAAAAATTGTTACAGTATGAGTGAGTACACTCTAAGAAGAGATTGAACCTTTGGAGTTCAAAAAAGAACTTTAAAACACAGAATACTGTAGAGGTTTTACAGATGCGCCATATTGGTTATTCTTAAGATTTCTTGTTGAAAGCTTTGACCAATTTTTAGATGTTCTTTAGTTTACTTACAACCCGTTCTGTGAATTCAGGCTTCACCTAGAGAAAATGAATGGTGATCATATCAGCTGATAAAACCTGGCATGTTTTTTACGTATATTTAAATCACTTACATTTAATGTTAAATAATAATAATATTAAATTTGCAATTGTTGTTGAGAGTGGTGTACATTGTTTTTGATTCATTATCATTGAAGGACATGGTTAAGTTGAGGAATTGATCATAAACCGTAGACTGCCACCAAAATAATGACTCGATTATTACCTCTTCTAGATATTATCATCCTTATCAGCCACAGCTGTAACTCAGGAAGGTGAATATTAGACACCTAGTGAGACGTATAGTACAGTAATAGTATAGAGATAATATTTACTACATTTGCCCATATATAGCTTAATCAGTTCTGCGTTCTGTTTGTTTATTAATTCAATATTTAAATAGAAATGTTAAATTATATGTAATTAAATATATATTCTCTCTCTCTCTATATATATATATATATATATATATATATATATATATATCGTTTATTTATTAATTTAACATTTAAATAGAAATGCTAAATTATATGTAATTAAATATTTAATATTAATTAATTAAATATTCTCTATCTACACACACACACACATATATATATATACATATCATTTTGTCATTTGTGTTTAATTAATTATTGTTCAATTTAATCTTGCACAGTCCTGAAAGAAACTTTCAAGCATCAAAAACTGAACTTAATTTGATCAAAAGAAGCATTTCTTAATACAGATTTTAGCATCTTGAATTCTAACACATAATTCCAGTATTATGTACCTGATTATGGCACAACAATATTCCAACTACAAAAGCAAGAAACAATTATAATGAAATGTACAGCTTAAATGATATGTGAACTTTGTTGGCATTTCCCAACATTTTCTTAAATGGATATTATGTATGATTATGAAAGATCTGGGCCGAACAGAATAAAAATCTTCTAATTTAAGATTAGCCTACTCATTTTGCTTATCAAGAGGAATAAATCCCTATCTCTGCAGCATTTAATGCCCTAAATGACATCAACATCATCCAGATAGTCGTCTGCTAAGCGAAGCATCTGCTGTAAAGCAACAAGAAACAGGACGTCACAGTTGAGCTCCAGCTCCAGCTCCTGACTGTAGTTCTTCACCGGTAACACACAAGACACCGGCACACCCAACCGAGAGCTCACCTCCTGCACCTGCAGACACAAAACAACACCTCCCTCACTCTGAGTCCTGTAGGAACAGACCATGTGATCATGTGACCGCCTCTCACCTTTGACTTGATGTAGGAACTGACATAAAGGCTTTGAAGATTTTCCTCCACTAGAGGACATGCTTCATCTACTTTTGTCATCAAGACCATCTGGGGAATGCCTGAAATTGTGTCAATAACCAACATTTTGCATAAGAGTTCGCTTTTGGCTAATTGAACATTTGGTATGTGTCATAAGTAAATTATAATTTAGCCTTGAAATAACGTTGAGATCACTTACCCAGTGAGCTTATTTCTCTGTGTATCACAGCAAGTTTTTCCTGTAGTTTGTCGGACATGAGGGAGATTTTGCTGGCATCTATCACGTACACCACACAGTGGATCTTCTCCTGTAGAGATGCAGGTTTGGAGGCCTTATGCTCATCAGGTTGAAAAGGTACCATGGGGTTGAACTGAATCAAGAGGATTTGGCATGAAACAAACATCATTAATATACTTCACCATTCATTCATTTTGGAGATGAGTGCACTTACTTTATAGCAGTCTGGTATGCGACCTTGAAGAATGCTGCTGATGTCCTCAATATCCAGTCCTGCACCTGTTTGCTCCTCGAGTCCCATGGTGTCACACAACACAAACGGCAACGGCTTTCCCTCACGACCATCTTTCACTGGATATGTGCGAAACTACCAACCAAGAAGAGAATCACATCAGGAGACATTCCTCAGACTGAAGAGGGACTTCTGTAGGAAACGCTATTCTATAAATCCTGTTGAATCTGTACCTGTGTGGTGAGACTAGTGCCTGCAGATCCTGACATGGCTTTGTTGGTCACATGACCAGTGAAGATGGAGTTGATGGAGTTGAAGAAACTGGATTTTCCAGCACCTACAGGACCGATCATTAGGATTCGAACACGGCTGACAGACGTCACCAGGGGTTTATGATCCCTTATCATTCGCATGAGCTCATCTCTTCGAATAAAAAAATCACAACTTTTTTATTGACAAGTTACTGTATTAAATGAGCAGCAATGAATGAACACTGCAAAGAAGAGTGCAAACTTACATAGATGTCCATCAAATATTCCTCCATGGCTTCTCCTTGGTCTGAAGGTCTAATATTGAATAAAGATGATTAACTTCTGCTTAAGTAATTTAACTAAACAAGTACATTTTTAGAGACTGGACTCATACATTTATACAATTGACTTTACACAACAACATGCCACACTTTTTCTGATGACTGACTTACTCTGCTTCACTTTGTAGACCTCACATTCAGTCAGCACAGTGTCGTTCCCATAGAATCTTTCAGCATTAAAACTGAATGATTTACCTCCTCGAATATAGATGGCGCGTTCACACGCTGCGGCTTCTCTCTCTCCTGACAGAAAGGTGTTTTCGTGTTTTTTGTCTTGTGAGTTGCAGTGTTTTTGTACGTATTCGTCGCGTCTATCTGTCTCTAAGCGCGCATACAGTCGTGAGTTTCTGCTCGATGTCGGCAGAACCACATTTTTAGAGTTAAACTCTGCGCACGCCGAAGAGCTGCGGGATCTCGGTCTGCTCCGGAGGCCCACACCATCACCGACCCCCACTACTGCATCTGTGTGTATGTGCTGTACATGTGGAAGAATTGACAATAAAGCAGACTTGACTTGACTTGACTTGATATACACAACTGGTTGGTTGTTTTTGCAAAAATACAACTGTTGGCCAAAGTTGGGCATTCCAGCATTGTCATAACGTGCATAATGTCCACTGTTTGCTTTAATGTAGACAGGGAACTTGCCTTGAAAGCTGAACAAGAAAGCCTCCTCATCAGTAATATACTGCTCGTTTCGAGTATAATCTACACTAGTGTATCCACCAAAGATGTAGCCTGAACGGTTGTAGGCTACAAGTAAAGTGGGACCCTGACGATCACATCGATTGTGGAAGGCAGAAGCTTGATATCCATGAACTGAAGCTTTGTAGAGAAGAGACAGTTTCACATTCCCCAGCAGGTCATGGAGCTGCTTACTTTGCTCTTCTGTTAAATCAGAAGTGAGGGATTCTTCCATGAAGAAATCTCCATACCGTCTTTGCATCTTTAAGGCAAAACAAAACAACATGCAAATATACATTTAAATACAAATATAAAATGTATTTTTAGTTGAAAAATGAAATGAAAAATGTTGTTATCGTTTTACTAAATACACTGAAAAAAGGTGTGTAGAAACAATTTTCACTTAAAAATTACTAAAAAAAAATGTTACTAATAATTACAAAGAAACAGCAAGCATTGAATTAAATGTGAAGTTTTGAAGTAGGAAGAATACCGAAACACTATTTTCTTGTAAAATGTCCAATAATCTTTGTTTTATTTGGAACTTCGAATTTTTTTAACAGTGTATTAATGGAAGCATCAACAGCTGAATTAAAAATTGAAAAGGGATCTTTGGTTTTAAAGGACACAAATGGGCAAGCGAGACTTTGACAGAAACTAGTCAGTTTATCTGGAATTGAAACTGAAACGGCACAGCATAAAAAAGTTTTGTTTCGTTTTTTTTTTTTTAATCACTGTAGGCCTAATGCAATTTGTATAAAACCTATTTTAGATATGATAATACTTTCTCGTTTGAAAGGAAGGAAGAAACCGCCCCCCTTAAGTATTCCAAAGTATTATATAGTATTTAGATTAAGTTACAAACCTTGTGTGATTTAACAAAATATGTTAGTAAATTACTTTTTAAAGCGTGTAGACCTATTTTGTAATATGTAGTGATATTTCAGTGATAAGTGTTATATTTACATTTACAAACATCACATATTTTCTTTACACGAACTTTTGAGAACGAGCACGTTACATTTAGACTATTTAATGTTTGCCAATTCATTTTTATTTCACTTCTTTGATTATTCACTTATTGCAGATCACTATAGGGTAGAGTGAGGGGAAACCCCCCTTGCCATACTGTCTTTCCCAAAATAACCATTGGGTAAACTCATGATACATTTTTGTTGTTACTTGCTAGTGATCTAATCTTCAGCAGTAAGAAAAAGTGTTGTAAAGCTTGTTGTTTTGGAGAACATCACAGTTATATATTGGGGTAAAATGCCCCCAGGCAGCATTGCTTCCCACTATCATAATTACTGTAGTTACCATTTTCTGAGCATCACATCTTTTGTTAGGCTGTTCCATCAAATGTAATCTAACTAGGTGGTTGAATAAAAATATTTGGACTTTATATTTAAAAATTACCTCCAAGTTAGCATCAGCTATCTAGTTAGCTAGCCAGCATCAACATTTTATTTTTTTAATAGGCTGATTTTCAACATGGTTCATTAATGGATATTCACATTTTTCTATTGTTAGACTATTTTAGCTTGTCTTTTTAATGTTAAGTTAAAACTGCTTGTACTCTGATTTTGCTGTAAATTTATAATGTATAAAGAAAAATGATTTGTCAGAGAGGGGGGGCATTTTACCCCACCCTGCTTTTACCCACCTGAGGGGCAAAATGCCCCTTTGGTCAAATGTAATTTTTGTAAAAAATTAAAAACTAGGATAGGCTAACTATTCTAGACACATCTAAGTTTTGTTTCACAGAAAACACAGAAAACTCTTTAAGGTACTGTATGTAATGCAGAGAAAAATGACATCCACCAAACATGGGACCTGGTTTTCCTCTGCATATTATTTTTTAACAACATCACTTTTCCACATTAGGTATTTATTTAAGGAAAAAAAGCAGACAATCTTAAGAAAATAAAATGTAATTTGGAAAAATGTACACATCATGGTTCATCTCTTGATGCATTGTGTTTCCTTCTTGAGCAGCAGTGAATGTTTTCACCTTTTGTAATAGTCCCTCACTTTGTCCACAGAGTGAAAAGATGGATCTAAAAATCATATAGTCATTATCGGAAAGGTGTCAAATGTGCAGAAGATGCTGGAAAACCAAAGAATGTGTAGGACCGGGAAGATTTTTCTGAAGAAGAGCAGTCAGTTTAACTGTTCAGGACAAGCAAGGGACTCATGAACAACTATCACAAAACATAAAAGCAGTCGTGTGTCTTCAATGACACAGTTAAGATATTTTGAATGGGGCAATTTTTAAAATTAAATTATTTTGTCTTGTGGGGTGTATGTAAACAACTGGTATGTGAACTAGCTTATTCAGGACAGTACTAAAAAAAAATAAAATGCAATTTTTTTATGATCCGTCTTATTTTTAATTCTTAATTTAGCATATCCTGCAAGGAGCAGAGCTGTAGCTTATGCTCTTGCAGAGAGTCGGGGAATCACCAACTGCCCGTTACACTTTACATTAATGTTGAAATAAAAAAATTAATTGCATTAACATTCAAAGTGATCATTTTAGTAATCTAAAATACTTTTTGGATGTAATTGTATTTTGATTACCACCCTTCTAAAATGTAACTGTAATGCTGCTCATATCTTTTATTTAAAATAGGCTACAACTAAGTTACATGTATTCCATTCCCCAACCCTGTTTAAATATATCTGAAATGCATGGTTGACAGCTAATTAACCAAAACATACATAAATCTTGAAGTTAAAACAACTGGAAGCCTGAGAGTTCATATTTGATAAATCACTCAGAAACAAGAATATTACACTCTAAAAAATGCTGGGTTAAATATAACCCAGCGCTGGGTTAAAAAGGGACAAACCCAGCTATTGGGTTGTTTTGACCCAGCGGTTGGGTTCAAAACAACCCAATCGTTGGGTTTGTCCCTTTTTAACCCAGCATTTTTTAAGCTATATTCTTACGTTAAACTGTTTTGTTGGTTAGTACTACTAATATCAATACTAACACTAGTATTATTATTACTACTAATAATAATACTAAAAAATAGCCCAAATAGCCTCTGGAATACACCAATGAAGGTATTTTAATTGGTCGGATCAGAAATGGCACCTTATCTGTCTCTGTAAACGCTTGTGTTTGATTGTGCACAGGGAAATGTAAAATATTTATTTAAAGAATTAAAAAATAGATTAATATAATGCAAAATCTGCATTTAGAACAAACTCTCAGCTGCAAACGTTTTTGCATGTTTTCATCTATTTGTATTAATACCAACTCTGTCTTGAAACAGACGGTTCTTGGGTCGTGAACGAATCATTCGTCCGGTTCATGAACCGGTTCATTCGATCATTAAAAAGATCCAATTCAGAAAAACGATTCGTTCACGAATAGGACATCGATAATCAGGAGAGATCTGTCGCCCAACAACATTTTAGTGCGGTAAACCAACAATGGGGACCCGTGACGACGAATACGATTATTTATTTAAAGGTCAGTGTTTTATACTCTATCAAAACGAAGAATAAACGTGTTTTGTTTTCCTTTATTATCAACGAAAACAGCAAGTTTCCTGATGACTGTGGCTAGCTGGGTTAGCTGGAATGCTAGTATACTGACGTTAGCTATCGAAATATTAACCGGTTTCGAAGAATCAAGAGTTGAAAGTAGATTAATACATTTGAATAGTGATATTATTTATTTGCAACGTCTTTCGACAGTATGAAAAACAATAATGCAAATCGCTTTTTTATTCAGCATTATGTTAGCTAAGCAGCTAACGTTAGATAGCTTTCAAACTGGAGTGAAAGCTAAAATGAGCGAAATAACTAGCTGCTGTTTTAATTCAATCAGTTCGTCCCAAAACAACAAACTAAATAGATTCAGTTCACTTCAGCAGGTTTTGCTGCTATACCAAAAACGTCGACAAACGTGAACTTTTCGAGTCGTTTAGTTATGTGTTGCTTAATATTTTGTGTGGTTGCATTGCTAGGCCTTAGCAAACTTTTTTTTTTTGTCGTTTATTACACAAGAGTAGCTTCTTGATGTTCAAACAGGCCAAATTTGGTAATTAACCTGAAATTGTAAGCATTTTTGTAGCTTTTACAGCTCGTAATTTAGTTAAATCATTAAGCTGGCACATGAACTCTGTAATGTGAAATTGACAACTGTAGATGATCATGACGTCATTTAAAAACATATTTGGATGTATGTGCATATATATGTGTGTATATGTATATATGTGTGTGTATGTGTATATATATATATATATATATATATAATGTATATGTGTGTGTGTGTATATATATGTATGTATATATGTTATATTTTTTTATTGAATTATTTATAAGTTATATTTAAAAGTTCCTTCCCACATCAGGTTCCTGTTTTACACCAAGCCTTTGAAAAGTGTTTCAGTATGTGACAAAACCACAGATTACTGTAGAGGTTTTACGAACGTGTCACATTGGTTATTTTTAAGATTTCTTGTTGAAAGCTTTGACCATTTTTTTAGATGTTTATCAACAACCGTTTTGTGAATTACTTCAGGTTTCCTCTAGAGAAAATGAATGGTGACCACGTTGCAACGGACACAGTATGAGTTGATTGATATTTTCTATGCATTTCTCATTTTTTATACAATTTGGCTAGGCCTGTATTTCAATTTTTATGGTGTCAAATTGATGGAGCGAAGGCAAAAGTGACAGTGGAAGTGTGTGTTGGTAGATTACGGCTTCTCTCTCATCTCTCTGGCCTCCTCATGTAGACTCAACCAGGATGGCCGACTAATCTAGTGTGTTTCTGCTCTTCACATGATGACATTGTATAAGCTTTGGGTACACACTTTGCTTTGTGGTTTACTTTCAAAGACTCACATGGTAGATTGTTTCTGTTCTGTGGCCTTGGTGATGGCTATGATATCTTCCCTATGGATATGGTGTTTATAAGAGCAGCTGTGAAGCATCATTTGATATCAAGTTTATTGTCATGTTCAAACAGCCTGATGTTTTCTTTTGTTTTCTAGTGGTGCTCATTGGAGACTCTGGTGTGGGGAAGAGTAACCTGTTGTCCCGTTTCACTCGGAATGAGTTCAACCTGGAGAGCAAGAGCACCATTGGTGTGGAGTTCGCAACTCGCAGCATCCAAGTGGACAGCAAGACCATAAAGGCCCAGATTTGGGATACAGCGGGACAGGAACGCTACAGAGCCATCACATCAGCGTGAGTACATGAAGATGTAATTAAATCTTAATCCAAAGTTCTGTGTGTGGGACAAAAGTTTATACCAGAGTACAGAACTGTTAGGACCTCCCATGTAGGGTCCTCAATGCGCAAGATTGAATGTCCTTTGTGTGGGCCTTCTGGCTCACACCCATCACCTCTATGGGCTGATTGATTCACACCTATCAGTCTGTATGGGCCACTGGGTTCACATATCTTCATGGTTTATCATAATAAATCTATAAAGTAATGTTAAAGTTATTGATCAAATTATTTTAAGTAAATTATTAATAGTATATTTATTTAGCTCTATTTAATAATAAAGTTATTTATTATTAATATGGTAATATTATACTATGACTAAAAATAAAATAATTATAATTATGTAAAAGTAGTTTTTTAGAATTATTGCTAAAATTAAAAAACTCATAATTTTAAATAATAATAATTCATCAATAGTAAGTACATTAATTTTAGAGTTATTGATAAATTATATTTAATTAATGTAGAATTAATGTGGAGTATAATTTTAATCCTGTTTAATAATAGGATACTTTTCTTTTAAAGTTATATCTTGTACACTCTAACTATAGTATATATTAGTATAATTATACTATAATATTTTATAATTCTATAAGTGATTTTATAGAATAATTATTGATAATTTATTTGATGTATGGCCCATAATATTATAATAGTTATTGATAAAATTATTTAATTATATTATAGTATAATTAATCATTTAAAATATCAAAATTGATTACAAATCTTTTTTTTTTAATCCACTGCATCATTTAGTAAAGCATCATGGTTGAATCATTGTCAGAGCAAACATTTACACCTATTTATCTCTTCTTTATGAATATATTATTGTACAATATACATTTTTAGTATATGTTTTACGTGGGTCTCCTTTACAGGTACTACAGGGGTGCAGTCGGAGCTCTTTTGGTCTATGACATTGCAAAGCATCTGACTTATGAGAATGTGGAGCGCTGGCTGAAGGAGCTGCGGGATCACGCGGATAACAACATTGTCATCATGCTGGTGGGCAACAAGAGTGATCTGAGGCACCTCAGGGCCGTACCCACCGATGAGGCCAGAGCTTTTGCAGGTGAGCATCTCCTCCTGCATTTTCATGTTGTTTAGTACGAAAAGATATACCTGAGCTGTTAAAATATCTCTCATTTTGTGTTTTCCAGAGAAGAACACTCTCTCCTTCATCGAAACATCGGCTTTGGACTCCACAAATGTGGAGGAGGCATTTAAAAACATACTAACAGGTGGGTCCTGATTGTAACTCCAATTACAGTCACATTAGCCAGTTTTCAGCCAAATTTAATGGACAAAAATCTGTGCAATTCAGATTACGTGGACTCCTATTGAAATTACTGGATCTCATCTGCTTACTTTTAAACAAAGTGGAGGAATGTGGCGAATCCATGTGACCAACTCAAAAATATTACAGAATCTGTGTAGAAAATTCACTTTCAAATCAAGCCAGAGAATTTGCCGCGTGAGCACATGCATTCCTGTTGAAATTATTGGATTTTTTTTTCCTGCAAGCCCAAGAATTCGACAGAGAATTTACCAATGTGAACTCAATGCAAAATCTATGAGGGGAAATATTTTGTCCTTTTGCGAAATTCCTGATTACGTGGATTCCTGCAGAAAGGATGTTCTGTGATTTGGCCCACTGTACAGCATTAATATGACTGCAACTTAATACATTCCCAGTGGGCGTCTCAAACTAAATGTCTCTTTTTTGTTACAGAAATCTATCGGATCGTATCACAGAAGCAGATTGCCGACAGGTCCATGCACGACGAGTCTCCCGGCAACAACGTAGTGGACATCAGCGTGCCGCCCACTACCGATGGTTTAAAGGGCAACAAATTTCAGTGCTGTCAGAACCTGTGACCCCACTTCCCCCGGCTCTACCCCCACCCTTGGGCTTCAGTTCCCCTCTATTTATCTCGGCTTTGCTCCTGTGTGTTGTGCTATGGCTACGGCGCTTTCCTCTTTTTACCTCGTTGTGATTTCCACGCTAATTCTAGATGACCCTTAGAAGCGTGGATCTCTAGGTGACATTCCTTTTCCTTGTTTTGGGGGGCTCTTGTTTGTTTGTCCCCATTTTTTTCTTTACTATTATCCACTGTCTGAATTCACATTTGCTTGGCAAAATGTTTTTCTTCGGAAGTGATTATTTGGGCATTGATCGTGTGATCCGCTCCTACGGAAAAGGGATGGTGAGGGATCAGTGTGTCTTCGGCTTCCTCTGATGGTTATTCTCTGGGATCCACACTAAACACCCGCCGTCTGTTGAGCCAGATCCCTGACTTGGGTTAAAAGGACCAGTTTTTTGGAAAGAAAATCGAGTTCGTCCTGGATCGTGTGAATACCAAAGGAGGGCTGCTGTCATCTTTATTTCAATTCATTAAACATTTCACACATCACACCTTTAGTCCTATCCTGCAATATTTTACGCCAGGGCTGATGGGTGTGAAGTTGCGCAATTTGTTCAACGCGTTCAGATTGCCGTATATATAGCAGTTATGTGAATGCGTCTATAAAGCATTTCATGGCTCTTCAGTGGGAAAATGCAATGGTGCGCAGTGTTTTAGATGGTCGGTTGTTTCACCAGTCTGAAAAAGTCACTATATATTCGATTGTTTGACTAAGTCATACAGCTAGTTTGGAAATGCCTTATGTTTTCCCATACTGTGATTAAGATGCCTTTTTCGAGTGTGGTTATGTGACATTTACACATCCATGAAGTCACAACAGCTGTTTTGCCTTTTATCAGGTTACATTAAAATGGAAAATAAACCAAATTACTGTCACAATTGCAATCGTGATTTTTTTAAAATCCATATTTCACAATATGGCACGTATGTCTGAATCTGTACCTAGAATAAGTGTCGTGTGCCACATGGTTGGCATGACTCATGCAGTCTGTTTAGTTTCCATGTCATAAGTTCTTTAAAGGAAGATACCAGGTGAAATACTAAGTAAAGTTGATGTATGTCTGGCTACATGTAAAACTGATGTCTGTAATCAGACAATGATGATAAAAGTTTTTTTTTTTTTCTCCTTGTGGCTTTGGTAGTCAGAAGCAATAAAACCGTTGCATTATACAGATGCTATTTTTTTTTTTCTTCAGGATTTTAATCCTGGACTTGGTAAAAAAAAAATGTAACTAAAAGTGACAAACAAAAAAAAAACTTTTAAGTGTTCTTCTTAATCTAGAAAATGTAGTAAAAATTACAAAAGAGGAATAAATTAGCTTAAATTAAAAACCTAAAATATTGTTTGATACATTTTTCAGAAACTACTCGTATCAATGAATGAACATTTGAAATAAAATGTTAAATTTTAGATGACATTTCTTAAATCGTTTGGTAAAAATAGAAAACAGGAATAAAGGTACTTCTTTCTTAAGCACAAAAGTGAAAAATGAAATATTAAGTTAGCCATAAATGTTTTCACTTTGTTTGCTTTTGCTAAAAAATAAAGTATATTTTTATAAAAGAATAATAATTAAAGAATGATTTTAGTGACATTCTTAGTCTGAAAAAAATGGAGTAAAAAAAGGGGAGTAATTTAAACAAAATTAAAAACAAAATATTTCTTAAGACATTCAAGTACAGTAATTTTGTTCACAGTTTCAAAAAATGTCATATCGAAGAAAACTATTAAATAACATTTCCTAAACAATTTGGTAAAAATGACAAAAGATGGGGAATAAAAGTGCAATTTTTTTAATATGTGCAAAAGTGAAATATTAGACAAGTGAAATGTTATGTTAGTCATGAACATATTTTGCTCACTATTGCTGAAATAAAGAATAAAAGACAAATTAAAGAATGATTCTCAACATTTTTAAGCAATATTCTTAAACAATCTGGTAGAAAATGACAAAAGAAATAAATGTACACAAAATTAAAAATACATTTTTTTTTAAATACATTATTTTTTAAAAAGGTAATGAAGCCTCGTATACTGTATATATAAATACTTAACCTTTTTAGATTACATTTCTAAAACACTTTTGTAAGAAGTGAATAAAAGTGTATTTTATGCACAAAACTGAAAATAATTATTACTGATTATTAATTAGTAATTATTAAAATAATAATTACTGAAAATAATATTACAATATTAATATTAAGTTACGCATAAACATGCACATTTTGTTCAGTATTGCTAAAAATAAGGACTCAATACTAAAGTATTTATGTTAACGAATGATTAAAAAGCCAAACCATATTTCCATCCCAACACATAAAGCCTCACATGAGGAGTGAACAGTTCTTAGAAATAACAACAATAGGCACTTCTCGGATGACGGCTATTCACGAAAGCTGTTTAGGAAAATTCCGAGGCAGCGCTGCGCACGGAAGCGCCTCCCTCTACGCTCTTATCGTACACGGCGCTAATCAGAGACGTCGGTAGGAGGCCGAGCCGAGTCGTTTGCTGAAGGGAAGAAACCCAAAACAAGGCTTGTACTTTTACTTTATCGCTTTCAAACAAGCGCCACTTTTAAAAGGAATTTACCCTTAAAGGCACCAGCTCAGCATGGAAAATCAGAAGGTAAGATTAGACGACAAGAAATGATGTTTTAATCTCTAATCCCAGGCTTTGATGGCATATTTTGCTACATGGCTAATGTAACTAGCAGCCTAATGCAGCTGCATTTTTCCACATTCACTCTGCCTTTGTCTTAATACGTATCGAATCGGTTTAATTTCGATTTAAATCAGTAGTCTGAAATGTAAGAAACATTTAGCGCTGTATTGGATGAAACTGATGTTTAATTGGCAGCTTGTGTTGTGTGCCAAAGGCCCTCCCTAGAACAGTGTCAGACAGCTTGATAGATCAGATCAGATCAGATCAGATCAAACTAGATCAGATGCTTTAGATGTGCAATGATGTTATGGCAGTACATGTAGATGATTTCATGTAAAATAGCAGTGCATTTATGCTGGTTATTCTCTCATCTCTGTTTCTGTCCATACATTCCCATGAAAGTAAAGGTTATATGTTGTTGGTTTGATCAGTGGATCATAATCTGGATTTAATAATCCAGCGAGTTGCCATTCATCAAAGGATGTGTTAAATAATGTTTCAAAACCTACAGTAGCCCAAAACACTGTAGATAGGTGGCTCACTAGGTTTTCTTTAGTGTATTGTTCAGTTAATAGACTGTTAACCTCAATATGATTGATATGTATTATAATGATATATTATGTTAAATGAATCCTCGTGTTGTTTCAAACCTTTATGACTTTGTTTCTTCTGTGGAACACAAAAGGAGACGTTCTGAAGAATGTCCAAGCTTCTCTCTTTCATACAGTGCAAGCTTGTAGTAATTACAGCTGCAGCTGCCTAACTTGGAAATCAGTCAAAATCAAGTTTTTGATTATAAATGGTTTCTTATACAAAGCAGCTTGGAATATAATGCACAATTTGTTTTTGTTTTTTTGTTGTTGGAAGTTTGTAAGTGCTTTTTTGGCATTCTTTGTAGCTAGGCAGCATCTGTTTGCATTCACTTTCGATTTAATGATGATAAAAATTATCATTATTTTAAAAACATACACATCTGCACACAGTAAAAAAAAAAAAAAAAAAAAAAAATTTGATATATATATTCCCAAAATTTAAATAGTAGTGTTTGTGTGTGTGTGTATATATAATAAATTGTATGTGTATGTATGTATGTTTATAGCCGGATATGACATATCTGGATATGACACAAAATATAAGTGGATGTTTTGTAGAAGACGATTTGGTTAAATTGTATTGTTTCACAAAAATGTGTGCCACATTGTGTTTTTTATATCAGAAAGAAAGTTAAAAGTAAAATATGGGCATGAAAATCGA